CTTCCTAATATCTAATCTAAACTTCCACTGGTGCAGCTTGAGGCCATTTCCTCTTGTTCTATCACTTCTTAGTTGGGAGAAGAGACTACACTGCCCACATGTTTCAGTGGCTTTAGGCACTGAAGAGGAAAGAAGAGAAGGCCATTTAGTGAATAAAGTCAGGCAAAGTGAAGGGCATTAAGGTTCAAAGTGACAGAGTAGATTAACTGCTTGCAAAGATGAACAAGGGTATTCTTTCGTATTATGGTTCTTGTGGTGGCAAAGCTGCTTCAAAGAAGTTTGTATCATGTTTCGTTCTTGTTGAAAGATATATATAAACAAGAACATTCCACTGATCATTGCAAAATGTTAAAGTTCAACCAGCACAGCCAAAGGTTATAAACTGCTGCCTGGAAGTGGGAATGAGCAGCAAATTTCTGTCTGGCTTCATAAGGAAGAATGGAAAAAGGCAGCAATCATCTCCAGCAAGGAAGGATGGTTGCGTGGCTGAACTGTGGTCTGAGGAGCTGGAAGAAGCTGGTCTTTGTCCCTGATGATGCTGCACAGTCCACCACCTCTGTTGCTTCAGCACGAGAGAAATATTAGTGAAGGTATCTCTTCAGAAGGGTGTAGGTACATCCCATTAATGCAAGTTTAATGGAAGATGGTGTAAAACCACAGCATTGTTTTCAGAACCTCTCATCTTTATAAGTGCCTCTGCGCAGGTAATTGCAGACTTTAAAGATAAGATCTCCTGGTAGTGCTACTGAACACATATACTTGTGTCTTAGCATAATGCTCTTTGCAAGGGCTTTGGAGATCAAAGACAGTCTGGGCTTGATTGGAAACCAATTAGCTACTGCTGTGTGGACCTTTGAAAACTAACAGGATTTTTATTTCCTGTATCCTTTGATCCCCCAAATGAGCAATATAAAGAAAAGGGAAAGCAGAACAAAAGAACAGATGTACCAAGCAAAGACTGAAAAGGGAAAGCAAGAATGTGCCTATAGGTTAGTTGGATAGTTTAGAGAAAAAGTAAAAATCAGGATGCTGGATTAGAAAGCCCCAACAAGCTACAAGCATAATCAATGCATCTGTCAGCTCAGTATCTTTGTGACTTAGAAAGTCACCTAAACAGAGTTGTAATATGGATTATATATGGATGTCCACAGGAGGGATTTGGTTTTGCTCCATATGCAACCAGAATTACTTGTGCAGCTGATGCTACTTCTCCAGCAGTACACTCCTGTACCTTTGATCTTATTGCCTAATTCCTTTAGCCTTTCTCCCACCCTTTTCCTGGTTTGGCTTCATATTCCAGGAAGAATCCAATGCTGACAAGTGTGCTTTACAGTTCCAGCTCTAACTTGTAATTTCCAGTGCTATCAGCAGACTGTGGGCCAAGGAAAACAGCTGCAGATCCATTCCCTTTGGTAGCATTTCACCCACTCCTATGGCCCCGTTGCTGTCTGGGGTCAGCCCTTGTGCTGAGACAATTAACACTGAGCATCTGAAATCTGATAGGGCTTTAAAGCCAAGGGTGAGTGCTTGCCACCCGGTGAGAGGAGGAGAAAGGAGGGGGAGGATGAATGAGCTGGACCTTTTCCTTTCTCATCCGGCACACATTAGTGGATCAATGACTGAAATGGATGAGGGTGCTGCCGGAGTGTCACGGTGGTGTAATGATGTAGCTGCTATTAATGGCTAAGGCTCCAGCCCGGAAATTACAGTTGAAGAAATGGAATCAAAAAATGTTTCTGAGGGCTCTGAATTGGTGATTTGAGGACTGTAATTTAGAGCTTGCTTTCATATTGCATAAAATGGTTACTATGCATATTTGGAGAAGCTTGGCTCTTAGTTAAGGAAGGAATAAAGTCAATAAAGTGTGTTTGATCATGGTTCTCCTTCCATTCCCCATCTAAGGTATGACACACAATCAGTGCTGGTGGCTCTCAAGATCTATTTCATGCTTTTAAGCAGATCTGTTTGCTGTGAGGAAATGTACCGTCAGCCCTCTGGCTGTCTGGATTTAGAGCAGATGTACAAAATATTATGGTTTATATAGCCTGTGAGCTCAGCATATTTCAAGATCAAATTCCTATTACACTAAAATAACTGGCAAAACCATGATTATCTTCAGGCAGCCTGGATCTAGACACAGTAAGAAAACCCACAACAACTGACCAGAAATCCCGAAGGAAAAGCTCTTTGTCTTCCAAAGCTCTTTGTCTTGCTGAAATCTGCTGTTTTCAGCTAAATCCAAGACTGATACGAGGATCCAACAGGTTTTTTTCCATATTGACTTTCCTTGGGCTATCTGTAATGAGACAGGTCAGAGGGGAGCGCATGAAGGGAGGGAGTTCAGCCACTTCCTTCCTGAAAATGATGCAAAGGGATGTGATCTGCTTCTGAGCCACTAAATAGTGAATATATAAAAGTCTGTAAAGGATTTCTGTAAGAGCACTGTTTCCACTCACATCTTTCAGACTAACCTACTTGCTGCTGTCTGCTCTGAGGCCTTTCCCTCCATCCCTGCTGCGGGTGGCTGCTGAGGCTGTGCTTGCCCTTTCTGCAAGCAGCCGAGGGCAGAGCATCCAGCATGGACCGGGTCAAACAACCAACCAGACCACTCGGTGGCTAATAACTGGTCCTGAAACACTGTTCCCACTTAAAACTGGCAGCAGTCAGGCCTGCTGAGGTGAGGCAAGAGGAACTCTGCCCTTCATATGCTTTGCCTGACATTGCCGAGGCACCCGCTGGTCCCCCCTCCCAGCTCTTTCTGCCTACACATTAATTTTCTGCAGCTCTTTAGTGGAAGCTTCAATGCATTCCAAAAGGGTTTTCCTCTAATTCCACTCTTTTTTCTGTGCTTCCTAAATAGCACGAGCTGCCTATGAGGCAGCTCGGCGTGAGCAAGGAGAGGAGACCATGAGGTAAACAGTGAACTGCGGGCATAAATATTTCAGAAACCTGTGTCAGCATTAAAGGCTTGGCTGCTGCTATTCCTCCTGAGGGGTCAGGTTGCAAAAAACCTCTTCTTCATCCCCCAGCATCTGCCTTGCTCATGAACACATCCAAAGTGCACAATGAATTTCAGGGATGGGGGAAGCAGGAGAGCAAAGTGTTTGCACTAATAAAACAGTCCTTGTAATTCCACCTTGTCTCTGGCTAATTAAAGCTTATACAGCCAGTTCATCATCACTCAGAGGCTGCAGATCCTACTCATTGCCAGCCGTTAAACACAGCCCAATGTGTATCTGACTGGTTGATTGTAATTGAATGGGCCTCTGTGAGCCCCGTTCCGCACGGCTGCATGGACGCTCACCGGTGGTGGTTTATAATGATAATGGACACATCAGCAGTTTGACCCTTTTCTAAACAACTGTGTCATAAAAGATGCTTTGCTGCAACTGGTATTTATCTCAAAATGCACATTATAGAAAAAAACTGTAACACTCCACCCTAATGATCCAAAACAAGGAGTCAGTGGACCCTGGAGATTCCTGCAGCGCTGGTTTAAGTGGTTGCTCTCTCCCATTGCCCCCAGCTTATCTGTCCCCAGAGCAGAGGCAGCAGAAGGGGATGATACATCTGCTCTTCACTTACCCCTGTTCCCAGACCAGCTACTACCCTAAATACATCTGGCATATCCTGCACAACTGTAGCACAGCTGTGCTGCACTGCAGGATGGACAAGCCTCAGTTTTCAGCTTTTGTGAAGATGGGAACATCTTTGCTGTGCTTGATTTTAATAAGAGTTTGAATCCAAGTCCTCTTAAGCAGCCTGTTAGTGCAAAATACTGTGAAAAAGAACTTGTGAAACCACTGGAGACTGTGGGCTGTACCATGCAGCTATGCACTCCCTAAAAGTCACATTGGGCCCAAATACATACACAAAAAGTATCTTTAAATACTCAAACTGTGTGAGTTAGAGTATGTGCCATATTTGGAGCTCTTTCTATGGATGGATTCAAGCAGTGGGACTGCCCTGTAAATAAGAAGGTTGTTCACAGTCTGACTAAACTTCATCTAACATTTATGTCTTCTAAATGTGCAACCATCAGGTTGCCTAGAGAAAAGGAAGTGGAGCAAATTGTTGAGTTCTGGGTTCATCTGAGGGCTCATGGGTTCCTCTTGTGCCCTTGAGAGCTCAGCCAGCCTCAGTGCACCGCAGCCCTGCAGCCATGAGGCAAAACATCCTCACTGTGTTCCTGGAAGGAAAAATGCTCTCAGAGTCTCAAGGTTCAGAGACTTTGCTGGTGGAGCATGGGGCATTTTAGGAAAGTTTGGTAGTATTTAGTGTAAGATGAGAGACAGGAAACATCCAGCTGCCCAACAGATGGTATGGCCAAAATTAAGTCTGCACACTATCAACTAAAGCTACTGCCCTGCCCTTCAGGAGCCTCATTTCATCGATTGACCAGTGGCTCCAAGCTGGGCTGATATTGAACACTTCTAACCCCTGTCTCGGGTAATACAGTTTCTTTAGCCACTGTGTGGAGGAAAACGCTGATTAGATTGCCTTGCTCAGTGCTAATTTTTCCTTCTGGTTCTGATTATGCAGAATGATGCTGCTAAAGAGAACGTTAGAAAGTCAATCAACCATTGCAAAAGATACAGTAAAAGCCTATTGTAAAAATCTTTCCTTCCTTATTTCTATTTTATTCCTCTGTCTGTCTCTCTCTATAAACTCACCCGACTATATTTACATTCAAATATATAATCCACATGATTTTAAGCTGCTTTGTGGAAGTTAGTTAGTTTCTTTACTTGATGTATCTTGAGACAATATAGCCAGTATGTGGATTTTGCTTCTTAGGCCCACTGCTTAGAGATAAATTATTACTTTTTGGTTTAATGTGTAATATATTGACTTTTAATTAATAGTACAGATAATACTGGACAATTCTTGTTTCTTCTTTTGGCCTTTTTCCACTTAGCATGGGAACTGGAAAAATCAGGCTTACCATATTCAAAGAAATTCAGCAATACGTTCCTTCTGACACTACGTAACTCTCATTCCACATAGAAAATAAAAATAAGGCTAATACGTATTATACGAAACCATAAAGGGAAAAGCACAGAACTACCACAATGGTCCCAGCTTCTTGTTCTCTAAAGGTCAGCTGTGAGGATGTGAAACAGCATTGTATTACCAGGGCAAAAGAAGCTGAAACACAAGAGAAAGTATTGAAATAGAAAGAAAAAGACGGTTTGAAGGATTCCAGGTCATCATATTGTAGTTCTCAGAACATTTAGTTGCTCTGTAAATACTGCTTAATTAAATGTACTCAGATTGACAGCAATATTTAACTCCAATTGCATTAGAACTGAATCACTACCTGCAATATTAATTCCAGATACCGCAGCAGAAGCAAACTAGGAGTAGGTCTGATTTTACATCCTGATCAAGAATTTATGCTGCAGATCCAAACGTATCGAGTCAAAGGACAATGTTAATTTATCACAAGGTCACACAGACCTCTACTGCCTTGATTCATGTTCTCTGCTCCCAGCTTCACAGAAGACCTGTGTAAAGGCCAACTGCTTAGTCTGAATGTCATGAAGAAGAATGTGGCAAATATGGTCACCCCTTCATATTTTAGCTTCCTAGAGAAATCTGATACTACATCAAACAGATATTTATCTTGGATGCTGTGGGAAGGGCATTTTAGTGCATGGAGCAGTGGCTGAAATCTGACATTACAACTGAAAATGGACTGATGATCTGTAGCAAATGAAGGTCTGTCAATCAGATGAAATGTCCAAACCTGCTGAACTAAATGAGCTTGTTTGTCACTGTAATTATGTAGCCTTACAATGATAAGGTATTACAGATACATGTCTAACTCAGTGCCAGAAACCGCTTTGCAGAAACCCAGTATATTTAATTACAAGAGGAGGAAAAAAAAGGTTCCTCTATTTCATGATCTACCCACCCCTGCAATGATTACTCCAGGGAAATTCCCACTGAAGCCAAGCAGATGGTTCCTACCTTGTTGTACGCCCAGCTTATTTTCTTTTAAGCTATGAAGTGGTTTACAATGCCATTTTTCTCTGGAGCTGCCTTGCATTTGGCAGGCTTCAGACTGTGTGTGAATTCCTTTTTACTGTATATGTGAATGGATTTCTTAGTTTCTTTTTTACCTCAAATAACAAATCCCACTTTGGATTCATATAAATAAGGACATGAATCAGACAAGTCTCTAGTCCAAACACGGTTTCAACAAGATGACTCCCACTGACTTTGTTGCAAGGGAGTTAATAACCAGATTTAACATCCCTGAGACATGTTGTCCCTGGTGCATTTCCAGAAACATCCATGTTGACTCTTAAAGACTTATCTATGGATCAATGTTGTATATTTCTGCTTCTGAGCAATACCTTACTCCCGTTCTGCACAGACACGTAAGTTTGCAGCAAACCTGAACAGATGTTAGTTGGATGAGGGAGCTGTCTGCTTGCTCTGTGCCTGCTGTGAACCTATATTGGTCCAAAGGGCAGGATGAAATCCATCTGTGATACTCTCCGAGGCAAACTTTGCCCTCGTATCAGAAGCCAGCTCAAGCCCTACTCACTGTTCAAGGTTTTTACCCAGGACAGAGGTGCGGTACTGGATTGTTCTCAGCAGAAGGGTGAATTTCTGCTATTTCTCCTTTCTTCTTAACATCCCAGGTTAGCAAGGCTTTCACAAGTATCATAGAGATTTTGTAAAACTGATGAACACTGATGACATCTCTTGAGAAACTTTTCTTTAAGTCAAATCTCTGTAAAACTAGAAGTAACCAGATTAAAGGCTACACCTAAATTGGCAGTGTCTGGTCAGGGAATGGTATATACTTTATCTGATTTGAGACTCTGTAGCTCCAAGGAGTTCTTTAAAGAAAGATAAATCATTAATCCCCACAATCAGTTCAGAGCAGCCAGTAAAGAAGATAAAGTTCTTGTGTCTTTGTGCCACACATACCTCCAGGCATCTTCTAACAGATTTCTCTGCAGCTTGAATTCAGCTCTCTACTTCAGAGTCAGAGACTCAGAGGGAAGCTGTGTTTGGAAGCAAAGAAAATAGTTGAAATCTCTCATGAGATATAGTTTAAAATAGATACTATTGGGGGGAAAAAGAGGTTATCTGCAAGCATTATGGTGTAGTTTTTCTCTGATATCCATTAAAAGCACACGCAATACCTGGATGACTTAACCTGTGACCATTATTTATTGTAACCCACTTTTTCTCCAGAGTGAATGCCTGAATTCGAATCTTCCATTTATGGCTAAGTGCACTTCTGGGAAGGGTAAATAGAACAGCAAAGGCCTGGGTCCCCGGGCAAGAAGCACACAGCAATCAAACCCAGAAAGTAGAAAAGTGGTTTTAAGTGTCCTCTTTGCTCCCTGGGCCTGGGCTGGCTGTATAAGGCTGGCCCCAGTGGAAATGAAAAGACCCCAAAGCCTGCTCTCTCCTCCAATAATTTACTTCCATCTCTCACTTTACACTGTGGAATAAAGAACCCCTTTGCAGGCTTTGGGAATTACAACATTCACCCAGGAATGGCTCCAGCACAGCGATTTGTGTGGTGCAGTATTTGTGTGGTGCAGTATTTGTGTGATGCAGTGATTTGTGTGATGCAGTGATTTGTGTGGTGCAGTGATTTGCGTGGTGCAGTGATTTGCGCGGTGCAGTGATTTGCATGGTGCAGTGACTTGCCACACAGCACCTTTAATGTAGAATTACGGCAATGCTCAAAGCAAGTTGAAACAGCTCAGTGGTTTATACATGTTTGCATCCCCCTCTGCCTCCCTGTACCAAGCCAGGATGTCTCCTTCACTTTGGACAGTAATGATGCAGGGAAACCCAATAATAGCTCTGTGTCCAGCCTTCCCCCAGGCATGTTTTCACTCTCATCATTCAATGGGAGGACAGATGGAAATACGAATTAGGAGTGAGAGATGCTGCCAACTCTCAGAAGCCCATTGAGGGAAGGGCTTCTGAGAGAAGGTCATCCTTTCTATTTGTTTCCTGCCTCAGGAAACCTCTGAAACAAGCTCAGAAGATTTGCAAGAACAGTTATGAGCGTGTGCCTATGAACTGAAGCTTGGCCTAGCAGCACCATACAAGGCTGTTGCTTCAGCTGCTGACCGCAAGCACAAAGCACAGCTGATTTTTAAGACATGATGGTGACTCTCTGACACACAAGCATCTGGTCTGGCTCCACTATCATTTTATGCTGGTCAGACAACATGAGGCTTTCTGGGGAAAAGCACGTGCACTGTGTTGCTGAATCTCACAAACCCCACAGTTTTCAGTGTTAAAACAGTTGGACTTGGAAGCTAAATTTGGGTGAATTCTTCTGAAGAGGAAAGCAGATACTTTTAGTTGTTTGAATCATTAAACTGTACTTAAAAGAAGGAGGGAAAAGTCTCACAAGTCTTGTTTAATGCAAGCTGCTATTCTAGGTTTCATTCCTGCCCCAGCTGGTATTTCCTGCTCTCCAAAACACAGAGGAAAGGTAAGGCATTTTTTATTGGGATTTATCTGAAAGATGAATCCTTAAACTCTGCTATGGCATGAGGAGTACAGGTGCCTGGAGGAGCTGCTACCTGCCCAGGAGTGCATGTTGTGCTGACAGCCCTGCTGAGCGAAAAGTAGAGGCTGCTATTCCATATATCTATCTCAGCTGTGTCCAAGACAAATCTAATATAAGCTTTATTTTTGAGCATTTAAGTGGGGAAAAGCCTTGCTTTTGTTTTCTGCACAAGAAGTAAGCTGCCAGCAGCTGGATCTGCCTGTTCCACCATGGCTGAAAAGTAACATGAATTCAACCATCAAATCACAGATTTCTTTTAGAGTCACTCCCTCACATTGCCAGTATTGAATGAGCAGGTTCCCATCTTAACTTTCTAAGTTCAGCAGTTTGCAGCAGTTTATCTCTTCTAACTCTTTGCCCCTCAAGCTCTTTTGGACTGAAACAGCTCTAAGCTCCTTGCAGTTCATTCACTGGGGCTCCCAGCTTGGCAGAATACCAGACTGATGCCAGGATGGCCATGGCCATGGGATTTTTTTAAGGACGTTTAGTTCCTACCATCTGTCTGTTGGCTCAACTCTAGGAAATTTAGATTGTGTTGCCTTCCCAAAGTTGTTTTTTCCCCCTTGGACTGCTGTCAGGATATGCAATCTGTCTCTGTGAGTGTTCCAGTGAGACAGTACTCAAGATGCAGTAAAATGCCTCTGACTCTTACATGTGTGACTTTCTTTCTTAATAACAGGTGAGGATACTGGTGCATTACCATGCACACACGTGAAAGTCAAAGAGTGCAAAGAGTACAAAGAGGTTCCAAACTTTTAATGGGGATTAAGTGTATTTTAGGAACTGTGTAACAACATTTGCTCTGCTAGTTCCTCATTTTGGACTTTAAGACCAGGTTGGTTGGTCAAAGTGTGGAAATGAGCTGTTGTGCTGCCACTCATCTGGACTGGGGCTTTTCACAGTGGGGACATTCCACTCAGCTGTGAAGACAATGCAGAAAAAATAGGGGTAACTGCACTGGTCCTGGGTTCCTCTTGCCTGTGTGTAACACAGTTATACCCCACTTTAAGCTTCATATTTCTTTTCCACTCAGATGTTTTGGAAGGAAGTGCTATTTCACTTGATGCTCCAGTACCCCTCCCCATGAGCCTGGTTTTGCCCCTCATCGTTAGACAGCCAGCTAGTCTATAATAACACTTAGAGATGAACCTGAGAGTCAGCACCCTGGGCACCTGATCCATTCTGATACTGGGCATATATATATACTCCATTAAAGGTTTAAACTCAGGAGTGGTTTATGAACCATTCCCGTGAGAACAGGAAAATTCCACTACAAGAGTGAATCAGAGAATGCAAGTCTTCTTAACTGAGCTGCTCTCATGAAACTTCTGCTTTTATGAAGCTTGGGATACATCTGAACTGGGGGTATTTGCTGGTGCTGTTTTCAGATAGGACTTTTAAGAGTGGAACATTCCGATGAATCTGAAGGTATGACAGATTCTGTCTGTTTTGGAAAATAGATTATGAGCCCACTAGCATTTAAGATATGATTTTAGACTCTGCTTGAGGGGCCACCTAGGCTTGGATTAAACCTTTTACCTTACAAGGTCTATTTACTTTACAGACCTTAAAATATTACATTGATAATGTGTTTCTGGATATAACCCATATGAAAGAGACATGTAGTTTATAGAATGAAACCATAAAGAAGCCTAAAACTGTGGGAGTGCAGCTGGTTAATATCTGTGTTCTTGTCTAATTGACAGGTTTAAAAAAATACTGTCTTAGCTAGAAAATACAACAATTACTTTAACAAAACAGATCTTCCCTGTCTTACTTGATTACAGGGCTCACGTTTTGTATATACAGCTGAAGTCCAACTAAATTATCTTTGGTTTTAGCTGACTGCAGTTCTTCTGCAGAGAATGTTCATAAATCCGCAACAGATCAAAACTGGATGTTTTCAGTTTCAATAAGAATTAGTTATTTTTTTTAAAGTGGGAATAACAACAAAGAGGCACAAATGAGACAATGTAGGATTTAGATAAATTTAGGGTTACTACAGCTCCCTTGCCCTTAGCCAGTGTAATGAATAATTTAAAGACAAATTTAGGGGCACTCCAGGACTAAAGTACTGCATTATCTAATTTCTGTTGTTACTCTGAAGTGTAAGCAGCAAGCTTATTAAATATGAATGGGGTAATCAGACAAATTCTATGACTGTGTGCATGAGCTTCTCATTAATGTTTCACAAAGAAGCATCAAGAAAGACTAAATAGACTGCACTGGATTTAAAAGTAATAAATATACTCCAGAAACAAAGTAACTTAATGACCTTCCTAGGAACAAAAGGGCTTAAACCAAAAGGACACTCATGTAGAGTATCCTTATTGAAGGAATAACTCAAGTAGATGATCTTCTGTGCATCTCTGGTCACCTCTGGATTATCATTTGCCAAAACATCACTGCCACAGTACAGCCATTTAGTACTTATTTTCAATGCTACATTTATACACTGGTAGCCTCAGCCATCACAGCCTGCCATGATTTTATTACAGCACAAGATGATTGCTGTAAACTGGCTTCTTACTAGGACACAGAACATACCTTCAAGCCAAGTTAGCAATTAGGGCACGATTTTGAGCATCCTTTACCTCTCACTGACATCAACAGAGAACACCTCTGGGATCATGCTCTTCAGCTGTGCAAGGGAATGCTGTTTCAAAGTGAACTTCTGAGCTAGAAGAAAAGAATACTTTGGTCTTTTATTTTCAGCTTTCCAGGAAGGTGTTTTTAATATCTAACAGAGGAAAACATTCTTCAATTCAGCTTACTTTTTTACATTTGATATTGGATGCACTGATTCACATTCAGAAGTGGAATGTGAATCAGGATACCAGGAACCAGAGGTTCAAATTAAAAAAAGTCAGTTTAAGTATGTGGAAAAACCCAGACTGACTTTTTAGGTGATACTTGACTTTCAGTTCTAGCAAATAGTCAGTTTTTCTGAGCAAAGACATTTCTGAATAAATTTCTTACTATAATTTCCCCATATGATTACTAAAAAAAGCAAACTTTGTCCAGACAATATCCTTACAAGATATAGTCTTATTGCAATATAAAACATTATATATATAATATCTTATTGCAAGATAAAACAGGCAATGAAAAAAAGATACAAATACATGAAAACCTGGAAGAAATGTCACAAAACTGGCAAATACTTCACTCCATTTTACCTAATTATTACAAAGAAAAGTATAGGATTTCAGGTAAGACAAGCCAAACCACAGTCTCTTCTTAAGGCTGCTCATTGTCTGTGATCAAGGTATGGTATGGGATAACCCAGATGGAGTGGGATATTGATCTAAGTATGTGTGCTGGTCAAAATACTTATTACTTTGTTCACACAGACATGGTAGATGTGGAACATCATTTTAATGATTGCAACCCAGAATAAAAAGGCAGAACACTCCCATCTTTTTGATCTCCTTATTTTTGATGAGGTATCTGTAAAGTCAGCCTTACTTCCCTCTGCAATTTTAAGGTCAACTTTATGAAAACACAAAGCACACATTATCAAGTTAATCTTACAATTGGCAATTAGCATCTTTACAGACTCCAAAGCCTAAACAATTAAAAGTTGAATAATTTATAGCAAACAGAACAATTTCTGTCAACAGTATTATAACGTGCATTAGAAATATACTGCACTGCCTGGAGCTGCTCGGTTATTGATTCTGGAGCTCTCATTAGCGATGCAGTTGGCAGCTCTCACCCATGGGCAATGGCTACTTCTGTTTGTCTCCACTTCAGAATTAATTGGAACTAATCCATGGTAACTTGCACTTATTTAGGGTGAGATCCTGCCAATAAAAGAGGATGGAGGAGGTGCACTGTGGTTGTTCTTATGTCAGCAGGTTATCTTCCAGGCAAAAGTTGCCAGAATGGCCACTGACTCCTCTGGCCAGCGAACACAGCAAACACCCTCTCAGCTCCAGTTTCCTCCCTGGGACAACAGATATCAAATCCACAGTTTTGACCTTCTTATCATATATATTTGCTTGGGCTGGATGTTCACCAGCCTCTCACAGCAAAGCTGGTGTTAAGCAAGGCATATATTAAGGATATTAAGATGTGAATCATCATGCAGCAGACGAATATAGGCAGTGTGTCTTTGAAGAAGTTATAGCCAAAAGAATTGAGTCTTTCTAGGGAACAAAACAAAAAAGGCTCTTGGAGAGAACTGTCAGGTTAGAGATAGGTTGAGAAAGGCCAATTTCTGCCTGTGTGTGTGGGATGATGGTTGTGAAGATGTCTCCAGCTAAAGGAAAGATTTGTTGATTGAGGTCATGTCTGCTGGGAGGTTGTCTACTTATGTTCCCACTATTCTTGGCAGGAAGAACCTGAGATGCTTAGCCACTGCCCTTTGTAAAGTTTCTGCACAGACCTTCTTATTCAGTTAAAGGAGAGATATTTCTTTCTTCTTAAGAGCATATAGTACATGACAGAATACCCTAATGTGGAGTGAACCTTCATCTCTGTGCTTCTTCTAACTGCCTCTTGCAGAAACACTTTTCAGCTGGCTGTTTACTTCTTGCTGTGAGTCATCCAGCAGGGGCCCTCCTTGGGAAAGGTACTTGTCAGACTGGGAGGAAAGACTAATAAGCAAATAATGATGTATGCTATCCTCCTTCTGCAGAGAATTATCCTTTCCCCCAGTAATATCACTTGTCCAGTAGCCCCCCAAAAAGCATCTTGCAATGGAAGATGGAGGATGCAGGGAGAAAGAGAACAGCTATCAGGCATCAAGCAGCTTCACTTGCAATTCATGAAGCACCAGGCAGTGAAGTGCAGAGAAGAAACAGAAAGCACTACAGCAGGTCTCGTCATGCCATGCTATAAGACCATCGCATGGCCTTATTTTAACTGCTTAGTAAAATACTGGTCACCCCATATCAAGAAGGATGTACAATCTCCAAATAGATGGGGAAGATAATTACAATCCTAATGAAGATTATAGCCAACAAATAGCCTCTGTTCAAGGAGTGACTAAAGAGCTTTGGAAAAACTTAATAGGATTCTTCACATTGAGATGAAACAGGCAGGGAGAGAGCAAGATATGATTTAAGGCCTTTCAAATCATGAAAGAGATGGTGGAAGTAAATGAGTGAATTCTTCATTTTTCATTGTACTAGGATCAGGAGGTGCCTAGTGCTAGACAAGGTAGCTTGAAATAAAAGACAGAATAAATAGGACTCCTCCATAGAACCTCCAACTTGAGAAAGTCATTGCCACAGAGTAAAAGCTGAATGAAGATATGGCTTCTAAGGTATTAGGCAGATTAGACAACAGCAGGAAGATCCACTGATAATGGTTAAATATAACCGTTATAACAGTCAAGCTTTGGTTAAAAATACCTCCGACTGTTGACAATGGGAAGCTGGGAGGTGTTTTGGAAAAGAAGATCTTTACTTTCCTCAAATGGGGTCTTCATAGGCTTTAGCCAAGAAAATCATACAGTATTTATCTAACTTTGATGTGAGTTTAATGCTAGATGTTGAAGGCGGCTCTTTTCTGGAGGTACAATCTCTTCCTTCACTCAAATAAATAGGTGAGGAAAGGAGGTCATTTGGGGAGCTCAGGTATTCTCTTTTCTGCATATCCATCACAAAATGCTAAACAGATTCTATATGCTGTATGCTCACAAGATGAGA